GAATATTTGTTTTCAACATAGTCTTATGTATGACTATAAATGGGAAGGCAAAGAAAACTTAGAAAAAATTGTTGAGAATTATTATAGATTATTTTGAAGACACTGAGTTAGCCACTGAATTGAAAAAATATTGGAAACTATGAAATCAAAGAGCTCATATTTTTTCTCAAATAGAAGAAGGAGGTAATATTTGAGGCAAGCCTGCTAAGGATATAATTCTTAAAGATATTATAGGAAGCAAGATTGAATGAATTAAAGATTTAGAAGCAGTGGTAGAAGAGCTAGAAGAAAGAGTAAAAATAGAACAGGAACAAATTAAGGAAGTCATAGCAACTGGTGAAAAATGAAGTAAAGCTTAAGCAGAAGACATAAAAGAAAAAAACAAGAAACTCAAGAGTGCTAGTAAAAAGATTTCTCATCTAGAAGCCTGAGTTGAAAAGTTGGAGAAAGAATCAAGTCAAAAGAGCAAAAAAATAAAAAAACTAAGCAAGCAATTAACTGATAGTGAAACCAGTGTTGTGACCCGAAACTCTGAGTTTAGGGAAGACCCAAAACAGAAACTAACAGAAACCACCAGAAACTAGTTTAGGTTAGTAGTTTATGCTTAGGTTTAGTTTTAGGTTTAGTTTTCTGCTTAGTGTAAGTTCATTTTCCGAAACGTTTCGGGAAGCCAAGAGAGTTTCTGGTCACAACACTGAGTGAAACACAAAATGAAAATCTAAAGAATTCATTCTACTTAGATAATAAACCCTTACCTGCTTTACTTGTAGAAGAGAACAAGTTATCAACTAAACAGAACATTTTTAAGCAATTAAAAACAAAAGCAAAAGTTAATTCGTGATATGTGAAACAACTGCAATAATTTCATAATAGAATTTGGCGCAAATTTTTGCAGATCACTAATTGAAATTTTCCGGAACTCATACTTCATTCCTAAAACACTACTATTTATACGAATTTATAAATTGTATTTGCAAATGTAATAAATAATAAGAAACCCAAGGTTTTAATATACAAATTTTCAAAGGGACTTTCTTATAAAATATTTTATCTTTATATGGAGGGACCGCTGGATTCTTGCCTAAAATTGCTATATAAAATTTAAGACTCAAGTATAATATTTAATTATATTAATTCAAGAAAAAAAAATATAAATAAGCGTTTGTAATTAGTTTTATTCAAAAAAAAAAGAAATATAAATAGATGTTTGGTTACTTTGAAAAGTTTAAATTTTAAATTTTTATGTAGCGCGTAATCATGCTTAATCACGTGAGGGACGGTCATATTCCAAAAATTCTATGGTTGGCTCGGTCTAAAGACCTCCTATTGCTGCGCCATGCGGCCAAATTTCAAAATAGCAATTTTGTAATTCGTTCAAAAATGTAATAAAAATTTTCAAAAAATAGGACTTCACGTGATTTTAGTTTTTTTACTGCCAAATTTAGATACGATAGTCAAAATCTAGTCTAAATTTGGTAATATTTTTCCTAAATTTAGAAATGATCATAGCGGACAAATTCCTCGCGGGCATAGTAAAGTAAATGTTTTAAAAAAGAATAGAACTCTACAACAAATAATTTTTTTGAGAAAATCGCTCTATTACATCAAAATTAAAGACATATTCTATCAACTAATAGAGCTATTTTTTTAAAAGGTAGGACAGAAAGCGACTTCTATACTTTTAAAATTTTGCCCAAAATTTAGGAGGTCTTTAGATCGAGCCAACTATAAAAATTATATTAATATTGTTTATTATCGCCACAAAATTATACTAACGATCGGCAAAATTTTGCAGTTGTCTCACGGAGCACGAATTAAGTTCCAAAAATTACAAAGATTAATCAAAAAGGAAAAATTTCACAACCAAGAAATGATTGCTCAAGTAGAAGTC